TTGTTATGATTTACATGGCCCACCATCCACATGGGCTAATCATGCAGTTGGACCAACTTGTTGGTGGTAGTGAAGTCAGTGATACTCAACCAGTTGGTCCAACATCTTCTACAGTCACAACTACTTCTGGGAGGGAGATGATGAGTATTCCTAGAGAGGAGTATGAGAGATTCTTTAGGCCACTTCACATCAGAACACTGCCACCCTTGCTCATTCAGGTATAGCTTGCTTAGCATCCAAACCTTCACCCTGGATAATTGACTTTAGAGCCTCTGATCACATGACTGAGACTCCAAGTGTGTTTTCCTCCCTCTTTCCAACCTCTACATCAAATAATGTTACCTTTGCTAATAGATCTACTTCCCCCATCTACGGTGTTGGTAATGTTACCACTGCATCTCTATCTTTGTCTTCTGTCTTATACGTTCCCAAGTTTCCTTTTAATCTTATGTCTGTTAGCAAACTGACCAAATCCCTCAATTGTTCTATCACATTTTACCCTTCCTCTTGTGTTTTTCAAGATCTAACGACGGGGAAGAAGATTGGTGGAGGGCATGAAGCTGGCGGATTGTATTATCTTGATAGTGGAGGCTCTACAGTTGCGCTTCAAACCTCCTTGTCTCCTCTTCAGTGGCACTATAGACTCGGCCATCCATCTCTTAAAGCTCTCAAGCTTCTTGTTCCATCATTGAGTAGTCTGTCATCTTTGCAGTGTGAATCATGTCGGTATGGGAAACACCACCAGGTTTCCTTCAGTCTTAGAGTTGATAGTCGTATGTTGAGTCCTTTTGAGTTTGTTCGTTCGGATGTTTCGGGTCCAATTAGAATTGAGTCGTACAATGGTTATAGATATTTTGTAATTTTTGTTGATGATTGTTCCAGAATGACATGGCTTTATTTAATGAAAGAAGTGAATTATTTTCCGTTTTCCAAAAATTTCATGCTGAAATGCGTTCACAATTTGGTGTTTCACTTAAAATTCCTCGTTATGACAATGGTAGAGAGTATTTTCTTTCTTCCTTTCAGAAATACCTGGAACAACATGGTATAATTCATCAGACCTCTTGTGCCCACACTCAGCAAAATGGGGTAGCTGAGATAAAGAATAGACATCTACTTGAAACAGCTCGGTATCTTCTTCATTATATGAATGTTCCTCAACGATTCTGGAGTGATGCAGTCCTTACTGCTTGCTTTCTCATTAATTGTATGCCCACGTTCATTCTTGATGGTCGTTCTCCATTCTCTATCTTGTTTCCTACTTTGTCTCCATTTCCATGACACCCAAGAACTTTGGGTGTGTGTGCTTTGTTCAGAATCTTGGTCTTGATTTATACAAGTTGGATGCTCGCTCCATTAAATGTATCTTCCTTGGCTACTCTAAGACCCAGAAAGGGTATAAATGCTACAATCCTATCACCCGAAAATCCTTTCTTTGTCTTGATGTTACGTTTTTTGAATCAGTGCCATACTTCTCTGGTTCTGATACATATCCTTTGCCTACGGAGGTTCCTCTTCCTCTTCCGGTTGCCGATTCCATTCCGGTGGTTCCTCTTGTGCCTAGGTCTCCCCTAGTCCCGTTACAGGAGCGTCCTGAACAACAACCAATTCGTCAAGTGTATACTCATTGACAGAGGCCAACACCTTCACCACCTTCTACTCCAATGGCAGATCCAACCTCTTCCTCAACTGACTTGGCTTATGATCTTGACCTTCCTATTGCATTGCAGAATGGTAAACATAGTTGCACACTTCACCTCATATCCAATTATGTTTCTGTATCTCACCTTTCTGCTTCCCATCGCCAGTTTATTACTTTGTTGTCCTCTATATCCATTCCTAAGGATGTTCAGGAGGCTCTTACATCGTCAGGATGGCGAAAAGAGGAACTCTTTGCTCTTCATCATAATCAGACATGGGAATTCACCTCTCTTCCCCTAGGTATTCATGTTGTTGGTTGTAAATGGGTGTATGCTGTTAGGTATCTACTGGATGGAAGAGTGGAACGTGTGAAAGCCCGTTTAGTTGCAAAAGGGTATTCTCAACTTTATGGTGTAGACTATGTAGAAACCTTTTCTCCAGTTGCAAAGATTGGCTCCGTCTGTGTGTTAATTTCCTTAGTTGTCATGCATGATTGGCCTCTATTTCAGCTTGATATTAAAAATGCCTTTCTTCATGGAGATCTTCTAGAGGAGGTGTATATGGAGCAACCACTAGGGTTTGTTGCTCAAGGGGAGGATGGTAAGGTGTATAAGCTCAATAAAATAATTTATGGGCTTAAACAGTCTCCCCGTGCTTGGTTTGGTATATTTAGTAAGGTGGTGAAGGATTTTGGAATGAGACAATGTCAAGTTGATCATTCAGTATTTAGCTCTGATTCTGTGGTCGGGAAGATCTTGCTAGTAGTTTATGTGGATGACATAGTCATAACTGGCAGTGATAAAGTTGGGATTAATAGATTGAAGACCTTCCTACAAGATCACTTTTAGATAAAAGATCTTGGGAAGTTGAAGTATTTCCTAGGTATAGAAGTTGCTAAGTCAAAGTGGGGCATAAACCTCTGTCAGCGGAAATATGTACTTGATCTGTTGGAAGAAACAGGGTTACTAGGTGCTAAACCAGTTGAAACCCCCATGGAGCTGAATGTGAAGTTGGCAAGTGACACAAGTGAATTGTTTGATAATCCTGGAAGGTATAGAAGGCTAGTGGGAAAACTGAATTATCTAACTACCACTAGGCCTGATATCTCATTTGCTGTCAGTATGGTAAGTCAGTTTATGCAGAGCCCATAGGTACCTCACTGGAGTGCAGTTCTTAGGATTGTGCGGTATTTGATAGGGGATCCAGGTCATGGGTTACTGTACAAGCCAGGGGGTAATCTTGAAATAGTTGGATACACTGATGCAGATTGGGCTGGATCTGTATCAGACAGAAGATCCACCATAGGTTATTGCACTTTTCTTGGAGGAAATCTTGTGATTTGGAAGAGCAAGAAGCAGACGGTGGTAGCAAGAAGCAGTGCAGAAGTAGAATACAGGGCCATGACACACACTGCATGTGAACTAGTGTGGTTGAAGAATCGATTACAGGAAATTGGGTTCTCAGTAAGCAAACCCATGAAGCTATATTGTGACAATCAGGCTGCAATTCACATCTCATCCAACCCAGTTTTCCATGAGAGAACTAAACACATAGAGGTAGATTGTCACTTTGTAAGGGAAAAGGTCATCAATGGTGTGATAAAGACAGAGCATGTGAGAACAAGTGATCAATGAGCATATCTGTTCACAAAAGGGTTGAGTTCAGGGAGAGTGAGCTACATATGTAACAAGCTGGGATTATATGATATATATTCTCCAGCTTGAGGGGGAGTGTTAGAGTCAATTAGAGAAGGGTATTTTGGTCTTTTCCCTTTATGTATTGTGTTGACTGTATGTCTTCTCATATGTAGGGGCATTTCAGTCTTTTGTATTTTATTTTTCAAATGCTAAGTATATGGTCGACTAGGTTAGACGAACAGTCTAACAAGTTTGACACTTTCTCTTCTTTCTTCTTTCTCTCTCTCTCTCTCTCTCTCTCTCTCTCTCTCTTCTCTTCTCTGTTCGGCTGAAAACTTACATTTGAAAACACCATAAACTACTAAAAATAGTAATTACGAGAATTACTATAAACAGTAAATCCCAAAGTTATCATAAATAGTAATTTCGAAATAAAAATCTAAAAAAACAGAGCCATTTTATTAAGACAGCAACAACTAGAAAAAAGTAAAAAACTGAAACAATACCAGTATCCTATAACCCAATTCTGAAATTGGTTAGGAATTGGAAAATTGGTTTGTTTCCCCAAGAAGCAAATATGAATGATGATGATGATGATGGTGCTTAGCTTTCTCAGGCAGGGAAGTAGGGGTTCTATAACCAGATCATTTTGGCATTCGGGAAGGAAACAACTTTAAAGGCCTGCAAAAGGCCAGTAGTGAATAATCATATAGACAAGCTATTAAACAGGCAATAGAGGGTTTCTAGTGTCAATATCAATTTATTGCAAACCAGAAGGAAAAACGAGAAAGCACTACTCCCCTGTAAAATATGATATGGATCATGCACTTGGTGAACACAATGATGACAAGTATAATGGTGGTAGTGATTGAGAGCCACCTAGATGCTAGTGGTTCGGGGAGTGTGTGTGTATAGCTTCTAACTTTGACTATATGCAGTTTCAATGTGTCGGATTTTATATTGAACTTTTAATGATAACAGTAACACATCATGGGGATGAAGTAATGAAACTTCTATTAATATTGTATTGAATAATATTCACTATTTCGCATTTACGCAGGGTACAAAGATCCCCACTCAGTATCAATGTACATGTGCATACAACATGACATTTGTTCAGTATGCCGTTGATCTATCCAAATCATTTGAATATACCATGTTGCAAATCTTTGGATGTCACATGGAACTTTAAGAGTTGAAATATCCATGTGGCATTTAGAGGCTCCATTACATGATTGGTTGACAACATCATTTCTATGGTCACACATGTAAAACATTCCTGTTGCACTCCAATGTTTATTTGCACTTTTCTACTTTCAAAATCTTATTACAAAAATGCATTTTATCAAACAGATTTTATAATACAAAGTACATAGTAAGTCCGAAGTTAGATTCACTACCTTTAGTTTAAAAAATACAAAAAACAGAACTCTATCAAAACACACCCAAACGGTTCACTCGTTTACTACTCTTGTACATGAGACCATTATGAAAATACAATAGCTTTATTTTGTGTAAGTGCTTCAGTGCTTGCTACCCAGTTACTATCCTTTTTTGTTTTCCCCTTTTGTTTCAGAATTCTCTGTCATTCTGACTACCCCGGAATGTGTTTATGATTATGTATGCCATGGATTATAATTTTGCTGCATGTCACTACTACATCACGTCCCATGGTTCATCTTAAGGCCTCACAAGGATCTCTTGTTCTTTTATTGTCTTCAGACTTCGTTCCCACTTTTATCCAGGCTTCACGAATCATACAGTGAGATACCAGCTTTCCAAGCTGCTATGCCAGAAAAGCAGCCAGATGGCCCGGATTACATGAAAACATAGATTTTTCCTATTTAAAAAAGCCTGTTGGCACATTACATTATGTTATTGTAATAAGAGTTCTTTTTATTATTATTATTATGACAGATAGGTTTATACTTGAATCCTTTGTTCCGCTGTGATAAGGTTTTGGGGATTGTTGTACACGAATGGACCTGGCTGTAAGTGTGTAACCTGCAGAGTGAAAAAAAATCTAGGGTAAATTGTTGAAACAAGTTTCTAACACTGTTGCATTTACACCCCTTCCATTAGAATCCACTAAAAGAAGGGGCAAAATGATTAAAATACCCTATCACCCTTACGTTTGATCTGTGTTTTGTTTTTCAAAATTTCCCTTCTTTTAATCCATACTTAATCTGCGCATATGGCATATGCATCTTTTTATTATCGCTAAAAGCTTGAATTCTCGAACCAGCAATGAATTAGTATTCTAATCTATGGTTCTGTCTTGGTTGATCTTGACAACCCTTAACAAGGCTACGTTGAATAGTTGACCTGCTATGAGGTTCGCGAATCTCTAATTCAATAAAGGATTTGCTTCGTGGGATCTAGGTTTGGTGTAGTGGGGCGGAGTCCATTACTTGACTGTTGCAAGAAACGTCCAAGTACAGGCAATCTTGGCTGACCACTGCTCAATGGCAATTCAAGGTCCAGAAGCTATGGAGTTATGACTTGCTGGCTGGTCCCTCCTTTAGGAAGACAGTGACATCAACAGGATGTGATGACTCTTGGGCTCAGTTTGGAAAGAGTACAAATACAAATATGTATGATGTAAATACATACAAAATACAAGGTTTTGCATTACATATTTGTATTTGTACTCCTTCCAAACTGAGCCTTAGTCTGTGTTTGGTTGCAATGTAAATAAATTTCCATGCAGTGCAAACGATTTGGGTGTAAATTCATACCTATTTTTGTTTCAAATTTTTGCTTATTTTGTTTGGTTGCAGTACAAATGAAGTAAATTAAGACATGAAGCAGAATAGAGTAAAATCCAAAACAAAATTAAACAAGAATTTGCATTTTTTACATTTGCACTCCAATGCATTTGTACTAGTGCAAATAAATTTGCACTGCAACCAAACGCAGCAATTTGTAGGATAGTGACAGTAATTACTAATTAGCACCAAAAATTTCATGGGCAACTCAGGAAGGCCCCAAACCCATTTAATGATTTTAATCTGGCATAGAAGCTTGTTTTTTGGAACAAGGATGAATATTTGATAAATTGTTTTTTGCTTACAAATCATCACCTTTTCCAGATTGTCCTTGCTAAGGGACTGTGGTCTTTATCTTTATTCGGGGTAGGTGATCTTTGGGGACTGATTTCCTTGATCTAAACTGAGTGTTAGTTGATTGGAGATGGCTCAAGACTTTTCCTCTTAGGGCACCATTGTTTCATTGGTTAGACAGTCTATTAATAATGGAGAACATTCAAACTTGCAAATTACTAAATCAAACTTGAAGGGACTAATTTCTTGAATGTTCCCAACCTGTTAAGGGCGGTCAAGGCAAGTTCAGTCACTTGACTGGAAAGACAAAGATTTGCAGATGATAACTCATTGTTGGATGTGTGGTAGCAGGAAAATATGATCATTATATTTTGGTTATGGAACTGTATATATGACACTCCAAATCAGTAGAGGTCTTATGTTCCTTGGAACGGCTGCTTAAATATGTGATAAGGTGAATAACTCTACCTATTTCCAAAGTAAGAATGGTGCTAAAATATTTCAGCTTAGGCAGGATACGACTGCCAGTCTTAAGTAAGGTGAGATGAGTGTGATTGCAACCTTTATAGGAGCTTGATTGCTATAGAGTGCTGATCTTGGTGCTGAGCAGTATGATTCTTAAAAATCAGGATTGTGTAATTGAGTTCTTGCCTGGCTGAATTCTGAGTTTGAGATTGTTAGGATGCAATTGTTAGGGCGGACTGACATTCCATCCATTGATGAGGTCTATTCTATTATTCAACAAGAGGCTTCTAGCTATAATGAAATCAGATCTGGAACATTCTACACTTTTTCTACGGTGGCTGGAAGTACATCCTTAGGGAAGAGGAATGTAGTTGGCAAGGAAGAGAAGAAAAACTTGGTGTATGATTATTATAAGAGGACTAGATACACCAAGGAGGTTTCTTTCTAATTGTATTCTTCTTGGTTTAAAAAGGGTAGACAAACACAAAAAACAAGTGCTCATAGTGTTGTCACCTTGGAAAATAAATGAACCAACTAAGTTGCCTCATGACCACGGAGGCACCGACTACTTCTATTGGGAATACTTCTCGTGTGGATCTTCATACTCCTAGGGAAGAATTAATCAAGTTGCCTCTTTGCTCATCTTAGGCCCTGTTCGCTTTTCGGTAAGTCACTTACCCATGTTCTTTTATTTCCCATGTAAATAAGGAAATAACCATCTTAACCATAAAAGTTCAATTATTAAAAGGAGCATTTTTGTCTCATTCAAGTATTGACAACTTTCCCCTAGATGGTAAAGTTAATTTACCCACCTAGGAGATGCTAACACTTATCCATAAAAATGAGAAAGTTAATTTTCGGTAAGTGATGCTCAGGAAAATAAACTTTCACTGGTCCCCACATAAATATGAAAAATGAACATGGGTTTCTTGGTCAATGAGAATCAAAATCCCATTGACCAACTTTTCCCTCTCTTAAAATCCAAAAAAAGAATGCCTCGTAAAAGTTGATAACAATTCTATATCTCATTTGGGTGGTGCTTGATGCTTCTACCTTTTCATCCTATTATCTACCAGACATGCTTCTAATGCTTTTTGGCTCATCAATTTAAGAGCATTGAACCAAATGATTGGTATGTCAGGGAGGGATAAGGTGAGAGTCGCACATGGTTCTCTCTTTCATATTTGTAAAGCGAGAGATATTCATTTGAACTCTAATTTTAAGGTCCGTTTGGTTCACAGTTGGAATCAAAATTGGAATTGTAATCAAAATCCTTTGGAACCGGAATCGATATGGACTATTCCCATAATTTGTTTGGTTCAGACGGGAATTGGAATGGGAATTAAAATCAGCAGGAATGAGATTTCATTCCCAAGGAAGGGGTAGGGAATGGCCACTCCCTCAAATGGGGGAATGCCATTCTAGCAGAAATGGGAATTAGATTTCGATTATGCCCAACCAAACAGTTGGAATCGGAATAATCCATTCCTATTCCAATTCTAGACCCCTATTAAATTAAACTTTTTCCTGATTCTTGTGGACTGGAAGTCGGTGGTCACTAACTCTTCATTTCAATCGTCTATTTGCAATCATCTATCTAGTGTCCTAATAAGTTTAAAACTTATTTCTGCCATTCTAGATTGGATCATCTTACATTTTAGTCTATGAGAGTTCTGCTTTTTTATTATTAGTCCAAGGCTCCAAGCATTGTAGAACATTTTATTCTGCCATTGTTATGATGTTTGTGGCCCCTTTTCTGTTATTACCATGGTTTTTAAAACTGACCCAAAGAACGAATTGGTCAGGGGTCCAGTTCCTGGGTTGAATGGTTGGCCCGTTCTAAAAAAATAGAAAAATTTAAAAAAAATTAAAAAATGGTCAAAATCATTCAAACAGTTCGAACGGTTAACCTCCCGGGTCAGCGGTTTGTTGACCAAAATCAACGATATTTGGAAAAAATCTGGTTTTCTGGAAAACGGAATCAGTCACCTGACCGATTCCTAGTTTTTCTAGTATGACCATCCGGTCTGGTCCGATTTTGAAAACCACGGTTGTTACTATGGATGGCATCATGTACTTTTTTCTTTACTTTTATGGATATTGGAATTGAAAAAAAAAATACTAGATGATTCTCTAACAATTTGAAAAATCCATAAAGATTTTCAGATTGGATAATGAAAAGGAATATTCATGGGATGCATGAATCCGCCAACCAGAGGAGACCACATCGGCTTTTCGCAAAAACCACTAACTTTAATGGGTGTTCAGCTATTAACTGAACAGACCCAGTTCAACCACATGCAAGAAGACAAAAACGTAAAAAAAAAAGGTGTGAATAGGTGGCAAGAAATCCGAGCCTTAACCATTCGAACTCTCCCCTCTCCATTTCTTGTCCTCATCTCCTTTGAGCCCTAACCAATCCTTGACTGTGCAATGGCAGCAAAAAATCCGACATTCTGGCATGTAAGATACTCTCCCTCCTCCTCCTCCTCCTCCTCCTCCTCCTCCTCCTTCTTCTTCTAATGTTATGTTATTTTTGTGTGTTCTCTTCTCAACAGGTTTTGATTTTATCACTTTAATTGCATATTCAACATTGGCAACATTGGCATCTTTAGTCCCCGAGTTTGAATGACCTGAAATCTAAAAATTCAAGGGGTGGGTTCTATGCATGCAAACAGATCAAACACCATATCTTGACCATCCGCTTGCACCTTTTCAGAAGAAAATTAGCAGCCAGAACCCTGAAATCACTTTCCATGGGCTATAGTTTGCAGATGATTGTATCATTTCTGCTGAGGCATCTATCAATGCTTGCCCTAAAGTCAAGGAGATTTTGGATAGATTTGCTAAAGCTTCTGGCCAGCTTCCTAATTATCTTAAATCAGCCATAACTTTTTCCAAAATCATCCCCAACAGACTTCAAAAATTTATGGCTAGAATTCTTAAGATTTTGATTGGGAGTAGGAATAAGACTTATCTTGGAGCTCCCATTATTGAGGGTAGAGTTTCAAGGGATACTTCCAAATTTTTGAAAGAAAATATGTCTAACAAACTTGCAAGTTGGAAAACAAATTCTCTCTCTTTTGTAGGGAGATTAACTTTAATTAACTCTTCCGCCTCCATGGTTCCTCAGTTTGTAATGCAATCTTTTAAAATTCCAAATAGTGTTGTTGATTTTGAAAAAAGACCAAAGGGATTTTCTTGGATCGAATGCGAGGAGCCAAAACCCCATTCATCTTGTCAAGTGGAGTAGGGTTTGTACTCCCAAAAGCTAGGGTGGGTTAGGTGTGAAGAATTTCAAATGGATAAATAAGGCCCTCCTTACTAAATTGGGGTGAAAAATTTTAAATTGTCATGAAAACCTATGGGTGAAGGTTGTGACTAATAAATATCTTAGTAACAACAATTTTTGGGATATAAAAAAAAAAGAAAAAAGATAAGTTCTTGGGCATGGAGAGGAATTTTGGGTTCAAAATATCTAATTAAAAGGGGTTCAATGTAGAGGATTGGCAATGAAAAGAATGTGAATTTCTAGTTGGATTCTTCGACTGGAAATGGCTTGCTGATTAAATTAAGTAATAGGAGTGTTTCAACTGATATGGATATGACTATAAGTAGGGTAATTGACCTTGGAAGAAGAGTATGGAGAGAGGATCTCATTAATTCGATTGCCACTCATCAGATTTGGCAACTTATAAAACCTATCTTGAAGATAAAAGAGTTTGGAAGTTCACCCCTGATGGGAATTTCTCGGTTAAAACGGCTTATGATGAGGAGTGTCATTTTAATGGTGGTGAGTGTCTTGCTTCTAACTATCAAAAATATTTTTGGAAGCTCATGCTCCTCCCAAAAATTAAAATTTTTCTTTTTCTTTTTATTAAATAAAAGACTTCCCATGAAAAACAATCTCATTGCTAGGGGTCTAGGGATTGATCCAACTTGTGGTCTTTGTGGGGAAGTTGAGAATATCGACCACCTTTTTATTAAATGTGAAGTCTTCAAAGAAATTTGGATTAGGTTAGCTGGGGAGCTGCCGATTCCTGGGAACTCAATTTCATCGTTTAATCATTGTAAGCCAAATGGCAATTTCAATGATAGTTTCATTAGAGAAAAATTTGCTTATGTTTCTTGGTTCGTTTGCAAGAATAGAAACAATAAATGTTTAAATGGACTCTCTAGTAATGCGGAGACTGTTATTAGTAGAGCTTTAGCCTATGTTGAGTGGTACATACCTAAATATGATTGCATTAAGATTAACTTTGATGCTTTTTGTTCGAATACTGGCAATTGTGCCATTGAGTGTATAGCTAGGAACCAAGGCAAAGTCCTTGAGACCAAAGATCTTGGAATTGGAATTTTGATGGTCAACCTTGCAAAAGCTTAGATATCAAGATGGTAACCGATTGCCTCAATGGTAGACTCTTGCCCCCGTTGAGACTGGAAAGTATCATAAGGAGTGCCGGAATCTTGTTGACTTCTTCAACTTAAATATCAAATTCAAGCATACGTATCAGGAAGCAAATCAAGCGACTAATTGATTAGCACATAAGCTCTTAACAACAGGGAGTATAGTAGAGAGTTTAGGTTCTGTGATTTTAATACTTGTGATGCGGATTTAAGGGGAAGAGTTACCCCAATGTTTATGTAGCTCACCGTTTACCATAAAAAAAAGCCCTAGAGACCAACCTATTGGACTGCCTTTTTCAGCACACGGGTAGCCACAGAGAAACTAGAGACTTTGTTAGAAGCTAGATGTGGAGTGTTGAGAGTATAATTTCTGCCGGAAAGAGATGTGCGCCACCGTTCTCTACTTTAGGTAACTCACCTTCAGTCTGTTGAAAAAAGAAAACCAGAAAGAACATTAAGGAAAAAGAAGAGAAAGGGGAAGAACGGCCAGAAAATGTACTACCGGATAAAAGCCCTCTCACTATTGGTGGCTTCCGAGTTGAGTGACACCGGTGTGGGTTGAGCTCGCCGGTGCTTATGGGGTAGGGTTCGGTGGAAGAGAAAAATGGAAGGGAGGAGTAAGAGTTTGAATTTGGAAAGGCCAATTTTTGTCATTTTGTGTTCGGTTGACGTTACCCTCAATGTCACCAAGTCATGTGGTCTCCTCCAGTTGGCAGGTTCACGCATCCCATCAACCCACAGGTGCACATCCTGTGAACCCACAGACTCAAACTAATTGAATACATCTTTTTAGGCAATACGAATGATTCATCTAAGTAGTTGTCATTATACTCCACAACAAAATAGATATCAAATAGAAATAATACCATGAATGCTTCTCGTTATTTTTGGGCTGAAGTTGTATTGGTTGCAACATCTATATTATATGTAGTGAATCTGTCCACGTGTCTTTCTCTCCTTCAAAATTTGTTAAAAAAATGCCCAATTTATATTTTTACAATTTTTTGAATTTTTATTTTTTAATTTTATGTAATTAAGAACATAAAACATTCATGTTTCTAGATTTTCCCATCCCAACAAACAACTTCATCTAGATTACCTCTCCACTGTCTCTTTAGTTCCAGAATCTTCGTTTTTATATTCTATTTTAATTCTTTCCTCTAATAAGCATTGGTGCGCCTCTTTTAACCCTATTTCTGGAGGAGGCAAACTATTCTCCTTCAACTCTATGAATATATTAATCCCACATTTTTCTCCTTCAAAATTATCCCCTTCCACTTTCCTTCCCTATCTTGTAGATTTCCAATAGTTCCCATTCTTTGTTTCTTTCTTTTTTGGTTATTCTTGACAGTTTGTCTTAAAAAACTTGAAATTTTCAAGAACCCTACTATAACAAGTCCAATTTATAGTTGGTTAAAAGCTAGTAAAGGATTTGAACATTCAGACGCTAAGAAAAGTGAGAGGATTTGAAGATTCAACCACTAAGAATTGAATTGAGAGTGTTTTTAGAGAAGATGTAAGGTTTAATTAAAAACAATAATTTAGGAGATGGAGATATTTTAGGAGTGCTTTTAAATAATTGGGAGGTGGAGAAAAAATGATACATGGCAAATGGGAGAGAGTATATTTTAGGAAAGATTTTATGAATACTTTTAGGTAATTGGGTTGCGAATGCTTTTAGATGGGGTAAGGAGAGCCCTAATGATGTGAATCAAAATATTTTATTGTGTATATATAATTAAATCCAATCAAATTTTAAGTGAATTGGTTCACATGATATTCAAATTTGATTTAGTTGTAAGAGTGTGAGAAGAAGAAGAAGAAGAAGAAGAAGAGAAGAGAGTTATGGGAGAAGAGGGTATGTCACTGTTCACACCCAAAACTTTTTCTTTTATATTAAAGAGTGTAATTACTGGGCGCCTAAATACAAATAAGATGGAATACAACAATGCCCCCATGCCAAATACATATTCTTAACACTCCCCTTCAAGCTGAGCATAGTTATTTATCATGCCAAGCTTGCTTGGGTTCCTATCAAGTTTTAGCTTGTTCAGACCCTTAGTGAGACAATTAGTAAGTTGATCTTCTGATTTGACAAAAGGTACACATATTTCTTCATTGGCTATCTTTTCTCTAATAAAGTGTTTGTCAACCTCAATGTACTTTGTGTGGTTATGTTGAACAAGGTTATGAGAAGTGTTTAAAGCAGCTTGATTATCATAGTATAGTCTCATTGAGACTTCAGCTTGAATCCTAGTCTCAGATAACAAGGTCTTTAACCATAACAACTCTGATACACCATGAGCTATAGCTCTATATTTGATTTCAACACTAGATCGAGCAACAACAGATTGTTTTATGCTTCTCCAATATACAATATTACTTCCTACCAAAGTGCAATAAGTAGAGGTGGATCTTCTATCATCCACAGACCCTATCCAATTAACATCAGTATAAGTCTTGACCTTGAGATGTCCCTGGTTGGAGTACAACATTTCTTTTCCTGGACACCCCTTTTGGTAGGCAAGAATCTTGTTGACAACATGCATATGTGAAGTTCAGGGATTATGCATTTACCAACTCACCATGCTTACACCATAGGATATATTAGGTCGAATCAGGAACAAGTAAAGAAGTCGGCCAACAAGTCTCTGGTAGGCACCATTGTCTAGAAGAATATTTTCATCATCAACACTCAATTTATGATTGGGGTTAAAGGGAGTTTCAACTAGCTTGCACCCCAGTTTCCCAACCTCATGAAGGAGATCAAGGATATACTTTCTCTACAAAATGAATATCCCTCCCTTTGACCTTGTCATTTCAATTCCAAGAAAGTATTTGAGATTCCCAAGATCTTTGATTTCAAATTCAGAAGCAAGAAATGACTTTAGTTATTTTAACCCAGAGTGATCATCTCTAATGACAACAATATCATCAACATATACTATCAACACAATTATTAGGCCATTAACCCTTCTTATGAATAGAGTATGGTCTGCTTATGATTGTATAAACTAAATTCTGAGAACATTTTTTTTAATCTATCAAACAAGCTCTAGAAGACTACTTAAGCCCATAAAGAAATTTTTTTTAGATGGCAAACCTTCCCCTCACTACTAGGGAAGCTTACCCATGGGGGTAGATCCATATAGACCTCATCTTGAAGATCTCCATTGAGAAATACATTCTTTATATCCATCTAGTATAGAGGCTATGAATAATAAGCATCAAGAGATATAATGACTCAGAAAGACTTCATTTTAGCTACAAGAGCAAAGGTCTCTTGATAGTCAATCTCATATGTTTGGGTGTATCATTTTTCCACCAATCTAGCTTTGTATCTTTCAATTGATCTATCAACCTTATGTTTAATAGTATACACCCACTTACAACCCACTAGGACTTTACTTAGAGGTGTAAATCGGGCTGAGCTGCCTGCCCGGCTTGATTTTGGACCGGCTCGACACGGCACGGCACGAAGGCTAACGGTTTGTGCCATGTTGGGCCGGGGGTTTGAGGTTGTGTCGTGCCACCTGTGACCCGCATGCTGGCACGACCCGCCACGGAACGACATGGCACGACACACCAAGCCCAAAACGGACCATGCTCGACCCGCTCGGGAATATAGTCGTTGGGCGGTTAGCTACAAGAGCAAAGGTCTCTTGATAGTCAATCTCATATGTTTGGGTGTATCCTTTTTCCACCAATCTAGCTTTGTATCTTTCAATTGATCTATCAACCTTATGTTTAATAGTATACACCCACTTATAGCCCACTAGGACTTTACTTAAAGGTGTAAATCGAGCCGAGCTGCCTGTCCGGCATGATTTTGGACCGGCTCGACACGGCACGACACGAAGGCTAACGGTCTGTGCCATGTTGGGCCGGGGGTTTGAGGTTGTGCCGTGCCGCCTGCGGCCCGCGTGCTGGCACGACCCAGACCGCAGCACGACATGAAGCACGACCCGCCATGGAACGACATGGCACGACATGCCAAGCCCAAAACGGACCACGCTCGACCCGCTCGGGAATATAGTTGTTGGGCGGTTAGGCCCTCCCTCCCATCCAAAGGGGCCCAACGGCTAGTTTCAACTTTTTTTGGGGGGGGTTTACAGAAATACCCCTCAACAGCTATAAACAACCATATTAGGGGGTATTTATGTATTTTGCTTATGGGGGGTTTGAAAAAATGACATAAATGCTCCCCAACAACTGTATAACAACTAGTTTAGAGGGGCATTTTGGGTAAAGTTATAAGTAACTTTACAATGACCAAAATACCCCTCCCAACAGCTAAATAATAGATAGTTTTTTGGGTATTTTGGGCAATTGAATTATGTTCTATTCCTATAAATAGCCCATTAGCCCTATCCAGCTATCCTCCACCATTCTCATCACACCAATTCAACAATCAGTGAATAAACAATCAACAATTCTCCTATTAAGTTATTAGTTTATTACTTATTCTCTTAATCTCTTCAATCTTTCCTCTTTCAGTCTCTTATACATTCTCTACAATCTGAGTGAACTCTAATAGTTTCATAGTCTGATTGGTTGATTGTTTGATTCTCCAAGTTGGCAATTTGGGAGGCTTGGAGCCTTGGACGTTGTTACGTTGAAAGGCTTTAACCGTTGAAATCAAATTGGAAATATGGGATTCTGAACCAACAATCTGGGATTCCAGGGTAAGTCCAATTAAATTAATTTTATTTTTTTAGAATTTGAAAAAAATGGCCAGCTCTTCCCAAAACCCCAAGTTTAGTAGCTCAATTTGGAGAATATTTAGAATAGAGGATGTTAGAGGGTAAGGGGAAAAGAGCAGTTTGCCAAAAATGTAGAAAAGACTTTAGCTATTGTAGCAAGGGTGGTATTGGCCATTTGACCAGAAATTTTCTCACACATGAGAAGGAAGAAGAAATAACCCATAACTTAAATGAATTTTTGAAATAATATTAATGGAAAATAAATTCTAAAAATATTGGGAGAAGTTGGAGTCTCGGAGAACATTTCTCACCGCCAATCCCGCCATGGCACGTGGTTTGTGTTTTACTAACCCCTCTGATGTCTACTAGCTATAGTTCCATTGGAGTCTTGTTTAGTTGTTTTAGTACAGGACCTACAGGTATCACACTACAACACTACCACAGTACCAACCTACCAAGGTTGGCTAGATGCAGTTATGAATCATGATGAAAAATATAGATTACAACTTTACAATTACAAGACAAAGGAGGGCATGATACTATAGACTACTACAGTACTACAGTACTACATACATTAGATATTTGTTTTTTCACCTAAAGCAGATGATGAAGGTGTGTGTGAATGCTTTCATCATAATGTATATGTAAATTTTGTTTAAATTGTAAATTTTAACAAATAACCCACATTTTTTTATTTTGTCAAATTATTGTAAATTTTGTTTTAATTTTATTTAATTTATTTTCTATTAATGTAATTTTGTATTTTCAATTTGTAACTATATAGTTTATATAGTCTATAATTCTATATTGTATTTTTTATATTTTATTAATTTATTCCATTTTCATATTTCATTCATCCAAGTATGAAGTATCCAACCATTGTATATTTCATAATTTCAATATTTGTATAATTGTATGCTTTTTAATTTGTATCATTATTCGTTCAAATTTAAATGAAATAAAATTCTTAAATTCCGATTTGAATTGTTTTATACTTTTGTTTATTTATTCTTTGGGTTATTA